ATTCCTTTTACCTTGTATTTAGTCCGAGTCTCAGTCAGTCTTCCCCAGATTAGTTATTGTAGTGTCATGTATTGGTATGCTTGTTATTGGATGTCTGCCTTCTCGTCACCATTAAAATCCCCGTTTACCCATCTGACCAGCTCATCTAGCCCGCTTGCCTGTTCGCCTGATCCCGTAACGTGACACTATGAATGCATTATGAATATATTGTGAAGGTGTACTGGATGTTCTATGAATGCATTATAAAGGCATTATGAAGGTACAATTCATGTAATGTAACAATGCAGTTATACCAAAAAAGTTATAGCTGGATTTACAGCCAGCTTTGTTATATTCCTAGAAGTACATATACAATATTATACACAAAAGACATGTTTATTTCCATCTTAAAATACACATACAAACATACATATGAATTCAAATACTTATATAATGCACAGCTCAGATCTGCAGAATATATTAAAGTGAATGCACACAATGAAAACACTCAATAATTGGTTTTTATTATCTTTCCCCAATCGCAGTGGTTTTTTTTAAAATTAGAATTACAAAAAAAATCCTTGCCCAGCGGATAGAACAATGAAGATATTGACAAGGTTGTCAATCTAACACATGCCCCTTGGCTCATGTTTTTCCCACTAACTGGCAACAGCAGCTGTTGCCAATGTTCATAGGCATATATATGTATTTAATGATAAATTTAATTTTGAGGGGGAAAAAATTATATATTTTACCCATGCCACTGTCCAGCATATGCAACTGGAAGGTGGATGGATGGTATAATAATATATATTAAAATATATAGGCATTTATATTACTATAAATGGAAGTTTGAAAGCCTAGAACCTGAATGTCATAGTTCCTATTTATCAGAAATAGTATGTCTATAGGGGTGGAATTAATTACACCAATTATTAGTTATTGCCGTCGCCAGGAGTAATTATTAGTTACACCAATAACCTAGAGAAAAACAGTAATTTAACAGTAATTTTCTAGCTTTAAAAACATAAGCTTCAGGTTCACTCGTCTGAGCTGCAACCACTACCACACAATTTTCTTTCATTTCGTTACTAAAGCGGTACTCAGTGACCTGCACCAATCCTTATCCCCCCCCCCTCACACACACACACACACACACACACACACACACACAAAGTTTCTGGTTTATACCCATCTCATATTTAGTCAAATCTCCTTTTTCTGTTTGCCCATCAGGAAAAGAAAGAAAAAAATAGGAAGCGGTACCAATGCAGCTGCTTGCCTGGGGGATTTGACCTTCCACAAGCAGCAAAGGCGGAATGATGAGAAGGAGCTGACAGCCTGTGACCTTCAGTTTTACTCTGCTTCTTTTGTTTTTCATTTATACTTTATAGTTGGAACATTACGTGCCTTGTTACCACAGATTGACTGAACATACCAAGAGAGAAAAGTATGCCTTTTAAAAATAAAAATGGAAAGTGATCGTTGAAGACAAAACAACAGCTTGTGGAGAATGTTTCACAATGCAAACAGGAAAGCTGTACATTTTGGTGCCAGAATTCAGACAAAACAAACAAACAAAAAAAAACTTTACATGAAAATGACTAGCCAGATTTTGCTGTAGCAGGTGGATTAACTGAAGGTATTTCAAGAAATTTCTACACATTCTGGTATTTGCCCAGGTTCTGAAACCCGATGAGTGACCATTTGATTCCACAGTAATGCAGTATGATAACAAGAACAGTCAATAATTATATTTCCTTAATTTGCATAATAATTAATTGAAAGTAAAGTATCACAGTGCCTGTCACAGAAATGGGTGACATAATGGAGCAATGAGTAGTGCTGCTGCCTTACACCTCCACGGCTTTTGTCCACAGTGACATACAAGCGAAGCACTTGGCATAGTATAAGAATACAACTATCAAGGAGCCAACTGGTTCTTGGTAAACTGTTACAAATTTATTGTGATTGTCCGTTAATAGAAGTGGCAGATTTGGCAGTGTCCCCCTGCAGTAATGGGCCTGGGGCCGGTTGCCCCCCCCCCACATGCATAAGAAGAAGAGCTATACAACACCATTCAAAACACACCACAAACATAAGAGAAATATTTAATAGAAAAGACAAAGTGCATTACTAAGAGCAGTCTACCTATGGTCACACAAATTTTCTCTGGGTACTACGGCAGTACAAATCCTTTTTCTAACATATCAAATAAACTAATAATAAATATCAACTGGGGGAATTTGGGAGCCAGGGGTAGGAGCGAGGCAAGAAATCATAGGCTCCCAGACAAGAGCTGACCCTGGGGCACAAACCCCCAGACTGATTTTCCAGGGGTAGATTCACATAAACAGCTTCTTTGTGTTTGTTTTCACCCAGTTCCTGCTAAACATGGAAATTAAATCTTATTATAACTTTCTGTTCAGTGTGGAAACCAGAGTACATCTCACGCAAACCAACTCTGAACACAAAGGTGGAATGAAGCAGCAGGGAAACACAGTTATGAGGTACAGAAATTATTTACCTACTGAAGCACCTGGAGCAAATTCTAATAGGAGGGAAAGTTAGTTAAAGAGGTCCTAAAATATCATGAAATTAATTGGATTATTTTGGATTGGCACAGCACCCCTTCTGTGCACTAACCTTTATGTTCCATACCTTTGTATTTTATCTAAAACAATGTATTAAGTGGAGCAAATTTGCTGTCATTAAGATTTTTATCAAACCTAGCAATCATTTAATGAAACCACGGAGGATAACTGACATTCACAATAATTTACAATGGCCTTTGATTAATTTAACTAGAACATGTTACATGTCATTAGATTTCGCGTCTTACCGTCAATTTAATTTTGATGTCTGTGTTCGATTTCTCCCGCGTTTTCCGGATCACATAAATCATAGGACCACATGTATATTTTCTACCATTAAAACTGTTACAGTGAACATTGCAACACTATGCCACGTGCAAACAGACAAACATCTGCAACGATACAAACAGTGGTAAAATTCTACGCAGTAAAAGCATTTTTTGTAGTGGCTGTCATGGTGAAGAGTGATGTCTTGAGGCTCCTTATTCGCAGCTCCTTATTCGGATTTTCCGGTCCACCTTAAATGCTTCGCAGCCCAATGCAAAGACGCTATTGCGCCTGTAGGGGGGCAATTTTAATACCTTAAACCTCTCTGGGCCAGGCAAATATCAACTTCTCAGTACACATCAGGTATCCTACTATACAGAAAACGTCACATTGTCCT